TATTGCTTAATATTTAAGAAAATTGTGAATTAACTTGCAGGGGTGCTTTAAAATATATCCTCATTTACAAAATAACAGGTAGTGCTGAAAGGGGAGTTATTAAAGGATTAATGTGACTGAACTAAGTAACACAAACGTGTGTAAGAGTGTGCTCAGAAATTTTATTACTCATAACAATACATGCAGCAGAAGAGAGTTAGACCATAAAATACTATATTGATACCAGGAAGGTTCACTGGCTATTAAGCAGACACCTTTTTGCTTGCCAACTAAAGTACCTTTTCACAGACAAACTGATCAGGATAGGCAATTGTATAGTTGTACAATAGTGAGGATACTGTTAGCATTACAGAGGCAATAATATGGTATTAAAACCACTGCCCATAAATGCTCAAATATTACAGGAGTCTTTCTGAAAGAATTAAAACTAGAGATTAGTCTTTAAAATACAAAGTAACACTTGTTATGACGGTCTGATGACAGCAAAAATTAAAAAATAAACACTTTTTTCCCCATAAGCCAAGTTTCTTTCCAGAAGACATCTTATATTAAGTATTAGAGAGCTCCTGATCAATTGGAAAATGTTGACACACTAAATTTCAAATTTGTTACTGTTGTTAGTATATCCAATTGTAGTAAGTCTGACATTTTTAAAGAGCAAAAGACAGACTTGTCAGTTGAGTGAGGCTCAAATAAGAAATAAAAATAGCAAAGCAAGCTTTAACCTATGTAGAATTAATTTTTAAATGTCTTTTTTTGAACCAATGTTTATTCTTTATAATAAAGTAAAAAAATGTTTGCTACTTAAGTTTGTATTTTACCAATTCAATCAAAATGCATGTCCCTGCATGTAATTATCCTCTGTAAGTATTTCCCCAATGAGTCAGTTACATACATAGAATCATAGAATCATTAAGGTTGGAAAAGGCCCCTAAGATCATCGAGTCAAACCATCAACCCAACACCCCCACGGCCACTAAACCATGTCCCTAAGCGCCTCATCTACACGCCTTTTAAATACCT